ACGTACCTTACTTCGGTAAGTACGTTAGTACGTACGTACCGTACCTACTACGACCACGTACTACGTAACTAACTAACTATACTAGTAGTATATATATATATATATATATATATATATATATATATATATACAGACGCGCGTGCAAATAACACAAGCAGAATGACATAGTATAACAGTGACCGATTCTTTTGTGAAAACAACACGTTTTTATTGGCACTTATTTTTTGTACAAGCTAAAAATTGCAACGAACACATTGTCGTGCCGCCTGCGAACAAGAAACCCGTGACGTCAGACGTATTGCTGTTTTTATTCAATCATCATTTTTCTCGTTAACTATCATGAACTGTACGCCAACTTTTCCTGATATTCCGTGGGCGAAGCGAACCTGGGACGGTACAGATATGCACGTTTGTTACTCCAAGATAGATACCTCCCGCCATGTACTAGTAACAACACGATGTCCCGCCATGTACAACACGCTGAAATCGTTTGCGAGTGAATACAACCAAAAACACAAATCGCACACGTCGCCTATAAAGATAAGAAGCATTCACAGACTAAGCTCGACACGTGGTTCGATATAGGGACAAAGACATTCATTAGCGCCATTAGAAACAGAAACCGTGCCGTCAGCGCCAACTAGCGGAAGAACGGCACAACTACTCATCGCCACCCGATAGATAAAATAACGCATGCGAGAACTCATGAGATTTTATAAATAGTCACGGACCCGTTATCAGAAGCATAAATAGTTATGACTGCGATAAGTATACATAAGATGACATAACGTTTGCACATTTTATTCAAAGGTTGTGACATATTAAACTTATGGTAAATGTCATGACTATTTATTATGTCGGTAACAACAGGCTGCTAGACAACATTACAACATTAGATATCTTAACAAATATTTTGTGAATTTCGTTTAGCTGCAGCATATAATGATAGTCGAAGCTTACGTATGTTAAAACGCACGCACACACGCGCATACGCACGCATACGCACGCACACGCGTGCATAAACACGTACGCACACACGCGCATACGCACGCACGCACGCACGTACCCTCATCATGAAATAGTGCGACAATATTTTCTTTTTTTGGCTTTCGATCACGTGATGCCAACCATCAAATGCTGGCACGTCCTTATACAATAACTACACATATACAAGTCACATTATTTTTTCTTCGTTTTGTGCTACGTTTATTATATTACGTTTTCGTTATATATATTATTAAATAATTTTGTTTTTTGTCGAGGAAAGCTAAGCCGCCCTCTACCACCCCATAAATTTGGTAATTCCAGTAGCTAGCTCCATTCACTCATCAGTCACGCTTTACTTAGACATCTGCGCAGATGCTGCTAACTGGGTGATAGTTATCAGTCCAGTAAAACAAAGACACAGCAATATTTGGAAAAGCGTATAAACAAAACCTAAACTATTGCGCAGAATTATTAACAGGTTACTGTTAATGTTATGGTTTAGCGCAAGGATAGTTAACTCCAGTAAACCTAACCCCGTCCTCAAATCCAACCTTACCACTAATCATAATCTTAACATTAACCATACAAAGCGCAATGTATTGCCTCTTCTGGACCAACACAGAGGATGAAAATACAGATGTAACGAAATGCCTGAAAGGTTCGAAGATACCTTGCAGATTACGATTGATCGATGCCAATACCGGACCAATTTACGTCCGGGTAGATGATTACACGATTGACATCACCTTTTTCGGCCGTGCACGAAGTTGTATAATCAACGGTACATGCGAACTATATAAGTCATTAGACGAGTAAAATAAATAACAACGGATGGCTCACACGTGGAAGCGGGATGTACGCGTCTCGTCGGTATTAAAGCATTTATTTAAGTTCTCGATTTAAACATTATCTTAAACATTATCTCACTGATAGCTTTTGTCATTAAGTCGACAATATTTGACGATTTTCCGATGAGACCGCGTGCGTCCGGCGACTCTCGACACAAACAAGTGAACATCGTTACGGACAGCACTGCACTCGTCGCTAACACGGTGATAGCTAGAATATAACGCGCGGTTAACCTCGACGGCGCTTGACCGTTGACCGCTCAGTTCCGGGGCGGCCACGACGCGGTCCTACCGGGAGTCGAGGTCGACTGTGCTTGGCGCCACGGTACGCCCTGGTGGTAAAATAACGCATTAAATAACAACCTACTTGTATATTGGATCCTTTTACACTAGGCTTTTATCGTTGACAATGTCATACGATATTGCTATATTATGTAATGACATGACACGTTATGTATAACATGATAAATTTTGAAATAATAAATAATGATAGATAACCGAAGATGTATTTCCTTGAGCATTACGCTGGAATAAAAGTGTGATAATAGGTATTCTATAATTGATCATTGTATTTGCGTATTGGCACATTATAGACAGAAATATATTATTATGGAATTCGCATGCACCTCGTCGAAAAATTCGATAAGGTAGGTAATGCGAAAGTAGATACTGCATACTATGTAATTATATTATTAATTCCGCGCATAATCAGCTTATATTCCACTTGATTTATTAGCACTGTAAACGGTCGAGAACATCTGAGAACACATGCGCGACAATCTATCACATATCTAAACAGATGTATATAACGAAAATCAGAGTAGCTTGTGGTGGGCCTGAGAAATGAGAACACCGAAAACAGACACACTAAAGGGCTCTAACATAGAAGGCGCCGCAGTGAACCTGCGAAGTGCCAATAAGCACTGGTTAGGGTCGCGCTTCGTAGTCTAGCAAGGTGTAACAACTATGGCGCCGGTCTTCTGCTGCCTCGTTTTCTGCTTTACCGTTGAATATGTGAAGGCAGGTGTCTACGTTCCACCGATCCTCTGCACTACCCCGTGTGTATTCGACCAGCTTATCACTTGATGCCATCGAGTTATTAAGTTAACGATGAACAACTTGTCACAACTATTGGTATATGCTTCATACTTAGGTATACTGAAGTAAAGTGAGGTAATACTGAACGCAGGCCTGTTAGGCTCTTCATCAGGCTCTTCTAACTCGAGCATGTTCCTGGAATTCAGTTTTACTTCTTGACCCAACTGGGACATTATGCTCAGCTATAGCCTTGCGGTCGTGCCTGGCTGTTTCCGTGTGGCTCCTGCCGTTAATGTGGTAGCTTCAGGGGCTCTTTATCTCACTTAACGCACCTGACACAGCGCCATATATTCGGTTTTCGAGCACGATGAGTGCATGCCTTAGAACACGATATAGTTGAGGGAGCGAGGCGGAGGCAATGCTACATTACAGGGTGCAATTCACAAGCTGTCCCGATAACAAGCTTGGGCGAAGGCTACGATATTGTCCTAATAATTTACACCTACATGCAAATCTGCCGCCACCCGTAGGCCAACTGTACATAATAGTCGATAAAGTTTATATGGTCTAAATATAACGTTTTTTTGCGTTTCTCTTGAGTGGCAGTTATACAGCGAACTCATCTGTACCTACAGAACGGCCACCTGTCAATAAAAGCGAGAGTTGATACGGAGTTGACTGTAGCTATTTTCATACATGATCATAGCCCGAAACGTAAAAGCAAACGAACGGCGCATGCAGCAACGCCACGGCGACTATGTGAACGAGACGGAACATTGTTAGGGAATAACAGCACCTGGAGAGGGAAGGAGTATTAGTTGCCAAAGTTAGCTCCATACCTGTGAAGGTGCGGCTGGCTGCTGTTTCTTTGCCCAAGGAAGGCCAGATGACGGTTGCGAGGGTGGCGCTGCCGCGGGCTGTAGAGGCAAAGTGGACGCTATTATTAGTAACTACGGCTACGTCTACGTGAGGATGAGACGGCCCCCGATTATCTAAAGGCCTCTACTGCCGTAACGCTCTACAAAGCTCTACAGGGCTACGCGGCGTTTACGGAAGCACTGGAAGCTCGTCTACTGGCCTAAAACCAACGGCTCTATACTTGTTATAGGTGATTCTAACGTTAACGATAGATGACTAATTGTCACATTGTGGCGTAGCGACTGATGACGTATTACAGGGTGGTGGAGCGGTTGATGACGTATTACAGAGTGGTGTAGCGGTGGATGACGTATATATTACAGGGTGGTTTAGCGACTGATGACGTATTACAGGATAGTGTCGCGATGGATGACGTATTACACGGTGGCGTAGCGATGGATGACGTATTACAGAGTGGACTAGCGATGGATGACGCATTACACGGTTGGCGTAGCGATGGACAGCGTATTACACGGTTGGCGTAGCGATGGATGACGTATTACACGGTTGGCGTAGTGATGGATGACGTATTACACGGTTGGCGTAGTGATGGATGACGTATTACAGAGTGGCGTCGCGACTGATGACGTATTACACGGTTGGTGTAGTGATGGATGACGTATTACACGGTTGGTGTAGTGATGGATGACGTATTACAGAGTGGCGTCGCGATGGATGATGTATTACAGGGTGGTGTAGTGACTGATGACGTATTACACGGTGGCGTAGCGATGGATGACGTATTACGCAATGGCGTATGGATTGATGTCACAGCGATGTGTGACGTAGCTATAGATGACGGTGCATGACGTGACGTAACCATGCATGATGTCCGACATAATAACGACGTGATAATGGAGGACACCACGCAGTGATGTCGCTCTATTCCACTGTCAATGAACCGTTACGAACCGATGCTAAGGTTAAGACTTACTGAAGTTAGTTTTAATACGAAAGTGTAAAGGCGTCCGGTGCTTCTATCTCTTCATTAGCATGACACCAATATAAATATTACAACGAAACTAAAGCTGCGTTTACACTATCGATTTTTGTCAGCAAATCGTACCGATTTCAAGTGCATTCCAACTTGCCCCCGACTTGACCCAAGTGCATTCCAACTAATCGGCTGAAATTCGATTGTGCTGAAATCGGAGTCGGAGTCGAGTCGCCGAGTTGGAGAGTTGTTCTATTTTGCACGACTCGGACGATTTGCTGACAAAAATCGATAGTGTAAACGCAGCTTTAGGTCATTAAGCGTGGTGCTGTTATTAGCGATAAGTAGAGTGGGCGCTATTTATAGCGGTTTGGACACGTAGACAAATCTGAATGGCACAGAGGATCAGGGGAATAAAACTAGAATCCTTCGGAATCAGTCTGACTGAAAAGAGAAAAAAGAACTGCGAGTTAGCGACTACAGCATCGCTATCAACGCCGAGACACTGATTATTGCCTCATCAGTTCCCTCCTGACTATGATAGCCGGTAGAAAAATAAACGCACGTCATGACACCAGCAAGACTTCGCTACAGGAAAAGAGGCGTGGCGGGGAACATGTGAGACGTTGTCATGGAGATACCTGACGCCACGGGGCACCGCCCTGCGGAGCCGTCTGCTGCTCTAAAGCCTCTCCGTTGGTGGTAGGTGGCGCCACGGATGGCGCCTGTTGTGCCGCCGCCTCCTGAGAAACTGTCGCAGCAGGAGTGGAGGTTGCCGTTCTCCAGGGCGCTCCGCTTGATGGCGCTGCTGCTTGTTGACTAGGCTGGGGCGCAGCCGATGTCGCAATCGTCTGATTCTGAGCTGGCGACTGTTCTGTCGCCTGCGTTGACTGCTTATTGCGCCAAGGAGCACCACCAGATGCCGCACCTGCCACGGGAGCTGGGTGTGCCTGAGCCTGTGGTTGTCTCCACGGTGCACCGCCCTGCGTCTGGGGTTGCTGCTGTGCAGCCTGTGGCTGTGGCGCGTGTGGCTGTCGGTTGATAGCGCTGTGGGCTGTGTGGCTGTGGGCTTGTTGCTGTGGGCTTGTGGCTGTGCGAGCTTGTGATTGGGCTGTGGCTTGTGGGCTTGTGGCTGTGGGCTTGTGGCTGTGGGGCTTGTGGCTGTGGGGCTTGTTGCTGTGGGGCTTGTGGCTGTAGGGCTTGTGGCTGTGGGGCTTGTGGCTGTGAGGCTTGCGGCTGTGGAGCTTGTGGCTGTGAGGCTTGTGGCTGTGTGGCCTGGTGTTGCCTCCACGGCACGCCTCCTTGTTGCTGGGGCGCATGTTGCTGCGGTGCTTGTTGTTGTCTCCACGGCACCCCTCCTTGCTGTTGTGGTGTCTGTTGTTGTGGGGCCTGTTGTGGTGTGCTTGCTGTTGTGGTGGTTGTTGTTGTGGTGGCGCTGGTTGGTGTGGTGCTTGTTGCTGTGACGCCTGTTGCTGTCTCCATGGCGCCCCTCCTTGTTGTTGCTGTGCCTGTTGTTGCGGTGCCTGTTGTTGTGGTGCCTGCTGTAGTGGCGCCTGTTTTTGAGGTGCCTGTTGTTGTGGTGCCTGCTGTAGTGGCGCCTGTTTTTGAGGTGCCTGTTGTTGTGGTGCCTGCTGTAGTGGCGCCTGTTTTTGAGGTGCCTGTTGTTGTCTCCATGGCGTTCCTCCCTGATGCTGGGCTGTGGGTTGCTGTGCAGTCTGCTGCTGTCGCCATGGCACCCCGCCCTGTGTCTGGGGCTGTGGCGGCTGTGTGGGAGGGGATGGTACTTGCGATGACTGCTGTGGCGGAGGCGGAGGTGGAGCAGGAGCTGTGGGTGACTGTGGGGGAGCCGGTGAGGGTGCTGTCGGCTGCGCTGGGGGCAACACGGGCGCGGCCGCTGCTTGCTCGGGCTGCTTCGCCCAAGGAGCGCCGCCAGATGGCGTTTGCTTCAGCTTAATCTGCTGGGCCCAGGGGGCGGTGGGAAGCTGAGATGTGGGCTGAGGTTGCGACTTATTCCACGGCACGGTATTTGGATTATATGTGGGCGGCGGAGGCTGAGGCTGAGGCTGAGGCTGAGGAGGCGCAAACGATGAGCTGGTAGGGCCAGCCGTATCAGCCACGGTCTGTGATTGGTCGGGCCCGTCGTCTGTTGTGTCCGCTACAAAGCAAAATACGTACGGGGAACGTTATATACGATATTTAATCGGCATTTTTGTGTCTTTTGTTTAGTTCGTTACGCGTAATGTACGTCTCAAAGAAAACAGCAATGGCTTTGGATTTTGTTTAAAGATATACGATATCAGATATTGGAAACACATTAGCCGAATAAAAAACAGCGAATTCCCAAACACATTTTCAGAAGCTTAAGGATAATTTGGGCCGCTCTGAATTGTACTATTCCATGGGATGATAGAATATTAATGACAATATTGAACGAGTGCATCAGAAAACGATTATGTCACTAATAACTTTCTCTCATTCACCTTCCATATTACACAGTAGTACATAACAATACGGTCTGTTGAAATGTAGTCAATTTAATTTGCACAAGCTACGATACATCTAACAAGGGGATTATATTTTCCGCATGTGATACAATTTTAGGCCCTTAATCCAATCAAAGTACATAACCACGTTAGCGTGCACACTAATAATCGCCAACAAACGACAGTGCTGATAATTTAACATAACAGCGAGAAACGCTGTGGTGTTTTTCCGTGGCTTTACTAAGCCCTACAAAACACAATGACAAGGAGGGAGTAAGTATCCAAGGGACCCGCTGCCAGAAACATCATATATAGTCATGTCAGCGTGAATCTAAAATGCCATTACTTTAGCAGTGCACAAGCTACAACATTTTAGACTCACGCCAGTCAACACTGCTATGTTTACGACAACGGGCCCGGGGGCCGGGCGCCATCATAACTTGTCGGATGTATCGTTGCCCCGGGCAACGACACCAACGCACCCTGAGCCTGCCATCCCTTCGGCTTCACATTAAACGTCTCGCCATACTCGACCGCCTTCCCGCCCTCCTTCTCCAGCTCGACGCGCACGGCTTCCGGCCTCGCTTCCGGCTCGCCGCCGTGCGCCGACTGTGGCACGGTTGTCTCGTCGTGCACCCACTTCTCGGAGCGCTCCTGTCGCTTGTGGAACAGCTTCGCGCCGCGTCCGTGCGTGGTCGTCTGCAGCTGGTTAGCGAGGTCGAAGCACTTGCGCGGCTGCACGTGCTTGTGGTCGGACATCTCGATGTGCTCGCGTTGCTTCATCTCCTCGAAGGCGCTTGGCTTGAGTAGGAAGCGCGGCACGCCCTCTCGCGTCGTCGCCGAGTCGGGCGTCGTCGGCGCGCCCTCGGAATCCGAGCCGTCGTCGTCGGCGGCGGCGGCGGCGTCGTCGTCGGGCATGTTCGACACGGTCCACTTCTTGGCGCGGGTCTGCCGCTTGAAGAACATCTTCGAGCCGCGCGATTTGACGTTCTTCGGTGACGTGAGCGTCTGCGCGACGACCTTGCACATCTTCACCTGCTCCTCGACGGTCGGATACTTGCTTTCGCCCTCCTCGAAGTACGCGGAGGAGCCGTACGCCTTCTCTGCGGGAGAGCACGCCGAAAGACGGAATTACATGTTGTGTCGTGTGTGTGTGTGTGTGTGTGTGTGTGTGTGTGTGTGTGTGTAGTTATGGGGTAGGGTTAGAGGTAGAGTTAGGGTTAGGATTACGATTAGAGTTAGGATTAGGGTCACGGGTAGGATTGAGGGTTAGTGTTACTGTTAATGTTACGGCTAGAGTTAGAGTTAGGTTTAAAATTGGAATTAGGGTTGAGATAAGGGTTCAGGTTAAGGCTAGAGGGTAGAGTTATGTTTAAGATTAAGGGCTTTGATTAGTGTTACGGTTAGGGTTACATTTAGGACTAGAATAAGGATTAGGGCTAAAGTTAGAGCCAAGGGTTCGGATTAGGGTTGGGGTTGGGACAAGGCTTAGGGTTAGCCCTAGGCTTATATTAAGCCCGGCGCACACGTGAGTTATTTTAATCAAGCAATTTGACCCATGCGTCATTTTACTTGAGTAAAATAACTTACGTGTGCGCCTGGCATTAAGGCGATAATTTGGATTAGGATTAAAGTTAGGATCAGGATTCAGGTTAATGTTAAATGTGTGTGTGTGTGTGTGTGTGTGTGTGTGTGTGTGTGTGTGTTATGCGTGTGTGTAAGTGTGTGAATATGTGTGGTACGTATTAGTATAAACTCAGATTAGACTGCGTAACCTAAAAATAAATATAAGCCTGATTATTTTTGCTGCGGCAAAAATACTTCCTTTCTATACTGTGTATTTCTTAAAGTTATCGAGCGTCGATAATGGAATATATATATATATATAGATATATATAGATATAGATATATAGATATAGCGATAAATATAGATATAGATATATCTATAATTATATAGATATAGATATAGATATATAGATATAGCTATAGAAAGATATAGAAAGATATAGATATAGATATAGATATAGATATATCGATATCAGGAGTAGATAATAGGGAATTCCCTATTATCTACTCCTGATAGTGATACATATAGATATCGATATGGACATGGATATAGATATATAAGGTCTCGAGCTATCTAATAGCATGGAGTGGAGAGTAGGGGAGAGAGCGAAAGGGAAAGAGGTAGAGATATAGCGAGAGCTAGAGCGCAAGAGAAAAATCGAGAGAGAGAGCGACAGAAAGAGAGGAAAGGAGCGAAAGAAAGGGAGAGAAGAGAGAGAGAGAGAGAGGTGCGTGTGATTTGTCATTCTATTTGCGCGCATCGATTGATTGCCAGCGTTCTTGCGTGTGCTCAATTTTCGCATCGAATTGGTGTATTTTTTATAATATTTCTATATCCACCTTTCGATCATCGTTTCTACTCTCTTATCACACAACAGATACATCGTTACGTCGGCTGTTATTTCAAAATGTTACACCCCTATCATACAAGAGATATCGGTTTTAGTCGGTTGTTATTTCTTTAAAATAGCGCGTACGGCACGTGCAGAAATCGTCTGCAGCTAGCTCCCAGCTATTCCGCGTTCGCAACCGGGAAGTAATTGCGCCATAAACGGTCAACATTCATAATATGCTAACAATAACGTGCTCACCCGCTTAACTGCGCCTCACCTCGTACGCATGATTATATACAGTCAAACATGCATATAACGGTCATTAAAAAACAACAACAAAACTACCTTTATTGACAGACGACCGCTCTATAGAGGTGCTTTAACTTTATAAGTGCAACTCAAAGGAAACGCCAAAAGTGGCCATTAAGGAACAGTGGCTACTCTATAGAAGTGACCGCTAACACAGGTTTGACTGTATAAAGCCACTGTGACATTTATAATCAGACAGAGAACATGCTATCTCAGACTTTCTCTGCAGTTCGCCTCATCATCTCCTTAGATGATTACTGTAATTACGTTTTTTGTTCATTCGAATCTGTATCCACCTTAGAATGTAAAGCGAATGTGATGTACTATAATTGAACATCTACGTTTCGTAGCGCCCCCTGTAGGCGCATTTACGGACAGGAGCGGGAAAAAGCGAGACGACGCTCGAGAGGGTCTAGAAACACATCTCCGTTATTCGACAGTCAAATTCTCAGGCGGGCGAAGGTTTCGCGTATCGCTTTTCTCACGTTTAGAAACTCTAAGCATAACAGGAATCACGATCGCACAGAGAGAGCGAAGCTTGTTCTCTCAGCCTTCGATTCGATGACGCGTCAGATCTCCGAACGAGCGGAAAGATCGGTCGCGCCCTCACATGCCCTTACTTGGCGACATCGGAGACCCTTCCTCATCCGGCGCCGGTTGCAGCTTCTTCTGGACGTCGGCTGGCAACGGTTCGTCGCCCTCCTCGACGGCTGGGGCTTCCGGTGGCGGCAGGTTTGGATCCGGTATGTACTCGCCCTCTACCGGCACGTAGGCGGTCGGCTGTCGTTCGGGTAGAGGCGGCACGTACGACGGCTGCCAGACGTTCTTCTTCTTCTTTTCGGCCTCCTCCATTTTGGGCATCTTGAAGACGAGATTCTGCAGAGCGTCGGAGCCGGCGATGTGCGTCACCGTCTCGCGCTTAGTCCTCGTGATCTCGACACCGTCCTTCTGCTGCTTCGCCGTCTCCGTCGTCGTTTCGACGGTCTTTAGCGCACCAGATGGCAGCACCTCCTGATGCGTTGACGTAACCGCTGGGTCTTTTTGCCAAGGCAGCTTCGCCGGGGCCTAGAACAGATGGAATGTGATGATCAGCGATGGTAGGAGAACAGTTTGTTTATAAACAACTACGCTTGTTGTCTTTCTTTCTGCTCTGTCAATTAAAGATCAAATGAATAGATTCGAAGATAAAATATATGAAATCACTTAGGCCCCTACACAAATTATTCTAGTAGAAACTATTATTAATCCAGTAACCTGTCGTTATTGAATTCATCAATAGTCTTTATAAGGTGACTAAGTTTTTTCCCCGAGCTTGGCAAGCACCCGAACACCACCATGTACTTAATCTTACCTTGAGTTTAAATTATCTTGTGATCCCCTCCATACATTTATGGACGTTAAACACGGCTATAAAGTTAAGGCTACGTTATAAACGCGTGCAGTAAACGCATGTGCCCACGTATCAGGTTATATCTGCGGCTACTATTAGCCACGGGGCTGGATCAGTGATTAAACTCACACCAGTGATGCAAGAATCAGCTTGCCAAACGCATTTAACTTTCGTCTAGATCATTAAGGCATTAGATTTGTTGCAACGAGTTATCGATAACAATAATCGTCAAATGGGTTGTCAAGAATCAACGGTGTATATCTCTCAAACAACACAATCATAATTGGTGATCGTTTCTCACACAAGACAAGCATAAACTGCGCATATCCTACACACAAGGCAAACATCAACATCGGGTTTCTTATAGACCCCTAACATCAACAATATTATTATGTCTCACACACAATGCAACCACCAGCAATGGTTGTCTCTCACACACAAGGCGTGCATCAACAATGATTTATGTCACACACAAAACAAGAATAGTGGTGGTCTCGCACACAGACAGGTCTGTCATCAACAGTGGCTATAGCTGTCTCCCACACACAGAGCAACCATCATTAGTTTATGAATTGTACAGAGATTGGCCGAGATTGTCTCTCATACAAGGCAAGCACCAACAGCTAGTGTATATCTCATACACAAGGGGACCATCATCAATGATACACAATAACGAATTGTCTTACAATCAGAGCAGCATTAATCAACTGTTATCTCATACACAGAAAGGTTCAGTCATCATCAGTTGTCTCTCACACACTAGGCAAGTATCAACAGCGATGGTCTCTCATACACTAGGCAAGACTAAACAGCGGTTGTCTCTCACACACACTAGGCAAGTATCAACAGCGATGGTCTCTCACACACTAGGCAAGTATCAACAGCGGTTGTCTCTCACACACTAGGCAAGTATCAACAGCGGCTGTCTCTCACACACTAGGCAAGTATCAACAGCGGCTGTCTCTCACACACCAGGCAAGTAGCAACAGCGGCTGTCTCTCACACACTAGGCAAGCCTATTCAGCGGTTGCCTCTCACACACTAGGCAGGTATCAACATCAGGCCGTTACCTGGTGCGACCCGGCTTGCGGCGGCGCGGGGGCCATGCCCGGCATGGCGACGGATCCCTTCTGCATCCAGGCGGGCACTGCGCTCGGCTGCTGTTGCTGTGGCTTCATCCAAGGAAGCTGCGACTGTGTCTGACTCATCGTGGCTGCTGCGGCAGTGAGACTCTGCAAGACATCATATATAAATACGCAGCAACTATCGGCACGTGTCCCACGATCACACAGCTGCGCGGCAGATGAGAACGAGGAGTACCATGCAAGTACACGCAAGTGTGTAGTTCGTGCAGGGTGCGACTGGGACGTATTGGATGTAGGCGTAGACGGGACACCGTCAGCCGCACCAACTAGTACGCACATGGCGAATCGCATCGACTGGTGACAGTCTGGGATTGTGTTTGGCAAATGATGACCGTGTTGTGAAGTCTTTCGGGTGGGAAGGTCTCAATCGTCATTGCATTGACGGCCTCACTGCCCCCAGGCCAGTTATAATCCATATCTCTCTATCTGATAAATACTATTTTCTTAAGTTTAGAAAAAGTACCGCGAGAGTTGTCGAATTGTCTCGTTATTTCAACTACTACAGGAACGCGAACCACTGTTGGAAATTAGTTGATCAATCATCACATATATAAATACACATACTATCAAGAGTAGATAATAACAATTGTTATTATCTACTCTTGATACTATACAATACCACGTAGATAGCGTGGATACCTCACGACGTTTGTGTACACGCCGGCAATGATGTATAAAATAACGGGACGCAGAGATGGGCCCTTCATTCCAGAGTTAAAATACAATTGTGCGGTAGGTGCGTGCACGTGTACACACTCCATCATGTTAAAAACCGCAATTTCAACTGACAGGCAGTTGCTTGATCGGGTGGATTTTTGCACATCAGCGTTATTCGAATACAACAAGCCGCGGTCTTAGATGGTGTACGAGATGTATGCATGTACGTGCGTGTGTGCGTGCGTGCGTACGTGCGTGCGCGTATGAGTATACGTGAGTGCGCGTGTGCGTACGTGTGTGCGCGTGTGCGAGTGCGTTTACGTATGCGCCTGTGTCTGTCTGTCTGATTGCTGACATGTATATAAAATTTCAACAAGTTCCGCGATTAGGGCTCTCGCCTGCGTTTCACAAAGCTCCGTTCGTCAAAATCGCAGTATTTGCGAGTGAGATTTTTCCCAACGCTCCTTTCGCTAAAATTCTCCGCTAAGTAGCGGATAACTTGACGGATAACTTTGGTGTTACCCGGAATACGTTACGCAAATCTCGTCTAAAAGTTGTAAATCACGAGGCAAGACGATCGTTACTATTAACATGACTTCTAGAGATATTGCCTTAGTAATTACATGTAACCGCACGCACGTACGCACGCACGCACGTGTTCACACCGCACCCGAAGAGTAGCGGTGTGCCTAGCTACCATTCCCGGCGACTACAGTACCAACCACAGAGCGGCATCTAGCGGAACCTCTAGTTCACTATCGGCATCTAAGGTATGTGAACGTGCTATGTACCCATCCGCACTGTTACGGCGGCTCGTCTCAGATCAAGGTTTTGTCCCCGGTGTTTGTCACCAAGGCAACTGCCAATTACAACTAGCGTAACAAAGATATCGTCAAGTAATCGCCGCTACGTCCGCTGCGAGTTGCTGGTTAACATCGGGTCCAGCCAATAGCAGCGTTTTGCAGTAATACTTGGCTACAGTAGGATTTCATCTGCGCTATGGCGGCAGTACGGTCTGTATAAATACATGCGGTTGCATTTTAAGCCACTCGGAATTACTGGAGTTCGTAAACTGAAACCTAGCTAAGCCACGATGAATCACTTCCGAAGAGACCGCGAGAGGGAGAGAGAGACGGAGAGAGGGGGAGAGGGGGAGCGAGAGATAGAGAGAGGTAGACAGACGGAAAGACAGAGAGAAGGAAAGAGAGCGAGAGAGAGAGAGAGACAGAGAGAAGGAAAGAGAGACAGACAGACAGAGAAAGAGAGAGAGGGGCGATAACGATTCATCAGTAAAAGCAAAGGTGCAAGAAGTTTTATGACGTCACCAATGACCAATCAACCAGGTGGCGCTGCCTTACAACCATGAACACGTCGTTTATCAATCGGGTGGCGCCGCTAAAAGCATTGTGAGTTCACCATAATTATATCAGAATCCCACGCTCATAGGATTACACTGATTTCTTCATTTACTCACCAGGCGTCTTCTATTATTTAACAGCTGATATATATATATATATAATATATATATATATATATATGTGTGTGTGTGTGGGTGCGTGCGTGCGTGCGTGCGTGCGTGCGTGCGGTCGCGTGTGTGTATTAGTCAGGTGGAATTGTGAGTTAAATAAAGGCTACAGTGAATGATTACGTAAAGATTGCAGTCTGTCCGGACGTTCTTGTCTTACAGACTAATGCGTAAGGGGCTAAAGCTGCCGTTACCAACTAGCTTAGACTGAACTCTACCCGCGAGAAGTAAAAAGATACGATGTACGAGGGTGACAACAGCTAATAGAATAGCGCGATGACGTCAGCTGACGCCTGGTCAGTCGATGGCCAATGTTAAATGTTAAATGTTAAAAGTCAACACATTTCCATCTCACGATCGCAACGTTCAGAATGGATAATTTTCTCGCATTCTGTAAGATCCGGGTGAAATCTAACACGAAGAATCGTAACGCGAAATCATCAGAAAAAAATCATCAAACATCAGAAACTGACAAAAATGAGAGGATGAATTTTTTGAAGTGATAAATCGTTAGGTGGCGTCAACCTAGAGAAACCCCACCGAACAACTCTTGACAGGCGAACGAACAGGCACCATGCCACACAGCTTCACGATGCACAGATGTTTGGGGGGAGGTGAGGGGGGGGTGCTACATTACGTTGATTGCAACATTGGAATAGAACGACTCGGCTGATGCCCTATTACGTGAGGATCAACATATTTCCATCTTCATGTGTTTCACGTCTACTAATGACCCGTGTCCACCCGAGCTTTATCCAATTATATTCGTTTTCTCTTATTGTGACGCGTGTGTACGAGTAGCCATTGACTGGATAAGAATATTCAGTGAACCCTGGTAGGCCCTACTGGAATGCTACAGCGAAATTTACTTGTTATGTTGTCTTAATTCTAAGCGCAGTAGATCTTCTATCGCCGCCCTTGCTATCTTTCTCTCGTTTGTGCGCGCGCTCTCTCCTTTTCTCCCCTCCCCCTCTTCTCCTCCTCCTCCTCCTCTCTCTCTCTTGCTCTGTCGCGCTTTCTCTCTGGCTTCTCTTTCGCGAGGTCTCTCGTCCCTCTCCCGTTGTCTCTCTCGGTATTTTTCTCTCGTTTAATCTCTCTCTCTCTCTCTCTCTCTCTCTCTCTCTCTCTCTCTTCTCTCTCTTTCTCCTCTCTCTCCTCTCCTCTCTCTTCTCATCTCTCTCTCTCTCTCTCTCTCTCTCTCTCTCATCGTTAACTCTCATCTCATCTCTGTCTTTTCTCTCTTCTCTTTGCTTGTTTCTTAGCATTATCTTGTTTTTCCTTTCCTCGTCTCTCTCTCTCTCTCCATCCATTCTTTTCCCTCCTCACCCATTCTCCCCTGTTATCGCGTATCTGCGTGTCTGTTTGACGTGTCGTTCTGCGTCTGTCTGCCTGTCTGCCTGTCTGTCTGCCTGTCTGGCCTGTCTGTCTGCCTGTCTGCCTGCCCGTCTGCCTGCCCTGCCTGTCTGTCTGTCCTGTCTGTAGGACACAGCATTGCACGCACGGACTACGAACGCGTACACGCTAACGCACGAACATACAGCCGCGCACGAACGCACGCGACGCACGTAAGTATATATTGCATGTATATGTAAGGTCTGAATGTCATTCCTTCCTAAAAAAATTCATTCTTCCTGCGAATATTAGCGGACGCTTCTTCCTCTGCAATTATTACTCGCTTGCAGTGAGACAATAGTTACATATTATTATATACGATCACGCAAGCTTAGTCTTTTATCGAAACACGGCCAGCTCAGTGATGAGAACCGCATATTTAAAAAGGGAGAAGTGGAAGCTGTACCTTCGCACAGACCACTGAACTGTAAAGGGCGCGGCTTTCTAGTGCGCGAAAACACCGATGGTGTGTCCGAGCCGCGAAAATCATAAACTGTAGAACAAGAGCGGCGACATAAAAAGATACCGTGGCAAGTTGCCAACGAGTTAATCGGTCGACTGTTCTTAGCCCGTAAAGAAGTGTTTGGCTGTTAGTCTAGAGATTAAATGTATACTAATACTTACTTTTCGCTTCACCTTTCTTCTCTCGCCCCTCTCCTCCCCGCATGCTTACATACGACGCATCACGCAGCATACACGCGCGCGTGGTGCGCGCGCCGCGGTCATCTTGTCTTAATCGTTGTAATTACGGGCGTACCGAATATAAAACAAGGCAATATCGAGCCTCCAAAGATGAAAAATTACACCGTATCTAGTACAGACGCTACACGGCGTAACACGCGTACAGACGTACCACACATCACACTATATATATATATATCAGAAGTAGATAATAGGGAATGTATATATAATAATATATGTATAATATACGATGTAGACGCTGATGCTCATACGCGTCGCCGAATCGCGAGCAAAGGAAGCCCTCCTCCTGTATTCACTTGTCTTACGTGGTGAAGTCAATCATCCGACCTAGTTTCGCTCGCATCTTATCTGCTAGATGCCTTCTGCCATAACCAGTATGCTCGTGCGCGCCGCGCACTGCTTGTATTGCTTGCTGCGCGGTGTTTGTGCTGCCGGCTCTGCTACATTAGGAAACCGGAGGTACAGCGGTATCGAATCTCTCGACCAAATTTTCCGATCCCCTTCGCAGCGCAGCGCTCAGCAGCATCGCAGCTCTGTAGCCGTGACCGTCAGAGGTGAAACCAATAACAAACAGACGATGGCCTGTAAATAGTCTGACTGCAAAACGGGAGGGTGCGAATCGGCGCCGCACCCACGCCGCGGGCGATTCCGTCTGCTATATGAGTTAAGTGGAGCATGAAATTCCTCGGGCAAGCAGAAATTATCAGATGGTTTGTTTCTACGGCATCTGGCATCGTGTGTAAGGGTGTTCATGCACATTCTTCATTATACACACACACGACACACACACACACACACACACAGCACACACACACACACACACACACGCGTCGCCGCGCGCACACACACACACACCACACCACAACACACCACACACACACACACCACACACACACACACACCCACACACACACACACACACACACACACACACAACACACATATATGATACTATACTATATATAATATTTAATATTACGACGTTACATCGCCTCTTCGCGCTTTCTGCCCCCCACCACCTCCTTCTCTTCCCTCCTCTCCTCTATACATATATATATAAATAATATACTATACACACATATATATTATGTGCGTGCACGCCGCCCGAAATGCAGCTCGTGTTGCTGTGTGTGTGCTGTGTGTCGTGCCGCACAACTTCCCCAGCCCTGTGTGCTGTTGTGTGTGTGTGGGCTGTGTGCTGCTGTGTGTCGTGTGTGTGTGCGCGTGTTGCGTGTGTGTTTGTTGATTGTGTGTGTGTGTGTGTGTGTGCGTGTGTGTGTGTGCGTGTGTGTGTGTGCGCGCGTGTGTGTTTATGTGTACGCGCGCGCTCGTGTATGTGCCTGTGGATATGTGTACGCGCGCGCTCGTGTGTGTGTTTAGCTTTCCTTGCTACTTTCATTTTTTCGCTTTTTCTGTCGCTCTCTCTCTCTCTATCTCTCATATACTCGATCTCTCCCTATTGGTATCTCTGTCTTCTCCCTACCTCCCCCGTCTCTCTCTCCTTCTCTCCCTCTCTCTCTATCTCTCACTCTTTCGCTCACTCTCTTTTTTCCATTCTTACACGGTCGATAAATAATTGCCGCGACTCAATATTGATAATTGGCCACAAAAAGTAGTTTCTCATCTACAAAAAAAACTCTTAGAAACACTAGTCGTGGTCGACGATGGCAAATATATCGCAAGTGCTGAAGGCGGCTTGTTGCGTGTATTCCTGTAGAGGTAGCATGAGCATGCCCGCGGGATCGCACCGGCTATATCAAAGAAGGCAGAGCACAGCTCACATGCGATCACAATCACATCCATCGATAAAAGTTCCACACTGTCTTCGCGTTCACTCATCGACTGCTTGCGCCTGGAGATCGAACTCGGACCGAGCAGCTGCTAAAATAAGGGGATACATCCGATGGCGTTTTTTCATCTCGTAGACGCAACAGATCGTGTACGTATGCTATGCATTATTTCCCGGATCCATGGTCGGCAGGCGAGCAAGATTCGCAGCAAATCCGCACGGAATTGGCGCAAACAAAAACACACGTATCCTAAGCGCGAACGAGCGAGCGCTCTCCCACCGCTCTATAGGCGTCATATGTCACCTTTATAAATCTAAACACGGGTACACACATAGATATCGATACATACATTCACATATAAATAAGACATGCGCCCACCTTCTCGATAGCATACGCGGAAGCCCAGCGCGATCAACTTTCGAAGGTGCGAGATTCAGTTGCGTTTGCACCGATCAGCTGCTGTGTCTAACATCCGCAAGGCGCAAGCGTCTGCAGCAGTACGCAGCGCGCGCAGTGGCCGCTAGGAAGCTGGCTGGCTCAATATGGACGCAGCATCGGCAGCGGCGGAGGTGGTGTAATGTTTCCGGCAGGGGTAAAAATATCACTGAGTAAACGCGAGAGTGGCCGCCGGTCGGGTGCTGCCGGCGTCGTTACTGCTACAGCCGCTCGCTAAATTTACATCGGCAAATGTTGTGTGGGAGAGAAAGAGATAGAGCGGGAGAGAGAGAGAGAGAGAGAGTGTGTGTGTTTGTGTTTGTTTGTGTGTGTGTGTGTGTGTGTGTGTGTGTGTGTGTGTGTGTGTGTGTGTGTGTGTGTGTGTGTGTGTGTGTGTGTGTGTGTGTGTGTGTGTGTGTGATGTGTGTGTGTGTGTGGTTGGGATGTGTGTTTTTGTGTAGTGTGTGTGTGTGTTGTGTGATGTGTAGGTGCTGTGTTGTGTGATGTGATGATGTGTGTGTGTGTGTGTTGTGTGGGTGTGTGTGATGTGCGAGTTGCCGAGAGAGAGCAGGAGAAATGAGAGTGCAAGAGAGAGAGAGAGGAGAGAGAGAGAGAGAGAGAGAGCGAGAGAGGTGAAGAGTAGAGAAGAGCAGAGAGATTGCGAGCGAGAGAGGAGTGTGAGGGAGTAAGAGGAACGAGAGAGATCAACGAAGTAGGGGCTAGAGATTATTGTGAGGGGCGCCGTGCGCGTGCTATGGGCCGCCGTAAATGATCTGTGCTATGTTGCGCGTCGGATGTAAGAGAGATGGAGATGCAAAATTTGAGAGAGACGTGAACAGGACGACGATGTGAAGAGGAGAGAAAGCGGGAGAGAGAAGAGAAAGACAAAGAAAGAGTAGAACAAGAAAGAAGAGGTAACGAACAGGAAAAGAAAGAAAGAAAGAAAACGC